AATACTTGATTCGAGCACGCGACACCGAATGAGCTTAGGCTCGTTTGAACGTGCGCGTGAAAATACATTATTTTAACTAGATAACAATATGGTAATGAAAAGCTAAAATAATGTGAATTATAATATTCACTACTGTGTTCTGCCTAGCTGGTTAACCAGTTATGCAATATGTATAAGAGGATTTGGAAAGATCGAAATTGTTTCCACTTACATATGATATTCATATGTTTACAGTCGTTCATTCTATTTTTTTCGTTCCGATCCTCAATTCACCCAATATCTCGAGAATCTGTTAAAAAAAAAGTAGACTAAACAACGCACTTGGGTCCGTATAATGATTTTTTTCAGGTAAACCATATAGTTTGATAATATTTACAATCATATGGTTTTGGTGTAAAAAGAATTTTAAGAAAAAAAGTAACCATTTACCCGTTCAACTGTGCAGCTTTGTTAGGTTAAATTATTTTAAAACTCTTTGATTTTATTTTATTCGTCTATTCAACAGTTCTAAATGTTTTCTTTATGCATCTAAAGTGAGTGGCTTGTTAAAGATTTGAGCAAATTTGTTTTGTATACACGGATTGGAAAGGAACAAGTTGAACTGACATTTGGGGAATGGAGTGTAAACTTCTTTGAAATAAAACAAGATTTCGTTCATTCGTGAGAATCCAATTTTTCCACTACGAGTTAGTATCGAACCAACATCTCACAGTTGTTGGCTTGTTAGCTCAGTTGGTAGAGCACTATACCGCTATCGCAGAGGTCACGGGTTCAATTCCTGTATAGCGTACTGTTTTTTTCTTTTTCGGCTGAATTTTCATCACTGCTTTAAAATTGTTTTTAACTGCGATGATCATCTTCATTTATTAATCTGCAGTTCAAATTCATGGCATTCATATGTTAACAGTTGTTTAGTATACCACTTAGATAACCAAAATTTTACACTTTTATTTTCGTGCACTTTTTTCCTACAACCTGATGAAAAATCTTCTCGATTACTTTTATCAAGTACTATATAAGGGATCGCAATATACAGCTGTGTTGTTAGCAACTCCTCTTAGTTGCTGCTCTCAAATTTTACTCACATTCGCCATTTTGAACAACTGGACGTTTGCTCGAATCGCACTTTTTCCAACCAAGTTATGGCTAAGGACAGTTTGACTTTGTATTAGAATACCCTGGTGCGAGTATATATTTGTTGCAATAGAACCCTACTAACAGCGTCCTGAGATTCCAAAGGTATTCTAACCGTTCGAAAATTGTTATCAAATGTGGTAATAATTCGAACATAGATGCAACCATTTTGAAGAGAACTTAATAACCTAGCCGTTGAAGTAAACCTAAACGAAACAAAAACAGCAGCAGCAATTGTAAAAAAGGTATTTTTTGTTAGTCAAAAGTGCTTCTTTGCTTAGCTTCTTAATGCTCAAACTGATTGCCAAGAAATGAAAGAGGAATTACTAAGACTCAAATGGCGACTTCTTCAGTAGAACGTAGAGTAATTTTGAAGGCTATCAAATGTCGGGCACCGAGGGGCTCTCCAGCTGCCTTTTTCTGCTCTTAAAAACATGCTTAAATATACACTATTGATAGATATGGGCATGCCAGCTGGCTGACTTTGGGAGATTAAAAATTGGTCGTTAGAACACTAACCCAAACAATTTCACGAAATGAACAACAAAGTACTTAGTGCCTCTGATTAACTGATTCAGCCTCTGACTGCGTTAGCCACAACCTTGAAGAACTTTCTCGTGGGTCCAAAGTAAGATCTGTAGAAAAACTAAGCACTCCTCTTATGTAAGTTAGACAAGACTGCCACAAGTGGGAAACTCATCACGATAGCTCAAATCAAAATAACTGCGGACTTTGAATTCATGCACAGTAACTGCATTCTAATTAAATATAATAGAACAACTTAACTATACTGAACTAACTATCTGACTGACTAAACGAACTAAATATTTCATAATAGTTTTAACGCAGGTGCAGTGCGTGAATTTAATGTTTACGTTGTAGAAGGGGAAGTGCAAATCCTTATATGGCTTCTGAAGCGAACATCTTCTTTAGCGAGTAGGCGTATGTTTTTTATATGGTATGTTTTTCTTACCAACAGATAAATAAAATCTTTATTGATATGAAACGTGAACTATAAAAACCACTGGTCATATGGGCGTGGTATGTGTCAATCAGATATATTTAATGAAATTAAAGTAAAGGGTGCAATCTGCCAAAAAAAAAATACAAAACTCGAACTTAAAGGAAAAGTTATAAGCATTCACTTGTTTCTACCCCGCAGTGTTTCACCTAAAAAAGTTAGATAAGTTTTTTTTGGTTTGGTGGCAGAATAACAGGTTTAATGGCATTCATTGTTACCTTGAACCTGTCCAGAAACTAACGAGTCACAAGGAAATTCTACAAACTGGTAACAAATTTTCTAGTGTCCGCCATTTTGATTCTCCCAGTAATCTTTGCGCCGCTAACTAGTTTCCATACTTTGAAGTGAGGAGCTGGGCACTTGGAGGGTTCCTCTTCCTTCAGCCCGTACCTCTCTCGCCAAGTACGCCCATATCTTACCGAAAAATTTCCTTTACTTTACCTCGAATTGTGTCACTGGTAGGATTTTCTTTCCGCAATACAAGCAGGTAACCAGTGAATAGACACAAGGCGGACTTTTTCTATGGCTGTGTGGAATGGAAAGAATGCAGGCCGGAATGATAATCTACTCCACGAGGAAAAAGCACGTGCGAGCGTGGTGTTTTCATTGAAGCGGTCGCTCACAGTCCCTTCAAATCTCTGAACTTTGTAAGGCTTTTTGGTAATGAAATAAAATTCCAGGCCATTGAGGAAGTTGGATGACTTGGACGCCATCATTAGCAAATACCAAAACACTCAATACGCGAATGGAACCAACGCGTCATAGTTAATAAGCAAGTTAACCGATGATTTAAGCGATCTATTGTCCCAGGTCAATTGTAGCTCAAACTGTTAATAAATTGATAAACAGCATTGAAATGCGAGAACCATCTAACTTTTTCCATTAGCCGCAATCTGCTGCATCGCGTGGGTAAATGACGTCCGTACTGTTATCACAACTTTAGCGATCAACAACGACATGCAAGAGCTTTTAAGTGTATTTCTATGTTTTTATTTTTTTTTTTAAACTTTTCTCATTTGCAGCCAAGTTATGTTAAACTTGTGGGAAGAAGTGTCGAGAAAAACGGAATAAGATACAGAAACATAAATAATTGACATTAATTGTTTCCATCATTTTATTATGACTTCAGATTCAATAAGTGAATTTGACATTTACCTGGTACCTTAACTTACATGCAGCATACAAAGCTCATCTTTTCATTTACTGTCTTATCATTTAGCTTGATGAGGAAGATTAGAGAAAAATTAAGACATGAATAACAGATGTTACAGGAACTAGTGCATTTGACCACTGCGGAGTGTGCATGCAGACATAATTATAGAGCGGTTGATAAACTTTGTAACACAATTAATTTGAAGATATTTAATTTCAACATAGTAGATCTTGAAGATTTTGACAACTGCTGTGCCACTATACCATCTGACTGACATAAATATTTATTAACGTTTTATTTGACAATGCCCAAGTATGAAGACATGATCAGTCAATCAAATGTACATGTTGGGACGCAGTGTTATGCTTTTTCAAAGGTTTAATATTCCTTGTTTATGTCTATATTCCTATCCTATAATATAGGTTGTTGTCAAAAATTTACAATGTATCGCCGTAAACATTAATTATTCAGAGTTAGGTAACCAGTAACTGTTAAGTTCACGTTTAGAATTAATTCTTCTAAGTTGTGATGGGCGTTTTAAGATTACTGAAGTTTCATTAAAAAATGAAAATGAAAACGAAATTTACAAAAAGACTATCAAAGTCTCAAGATAGAGGAATGTTTACAAGTTTAGAAGGTTCGTCGAGCTACAAAGTTCAAATGTTTTCAGTTGGTCGAATATGATGGTGGAAGTAACTAGTACAGATTAATGGGTTTATGCTAGAGAAATGGCGCACTTTTGTCGCTCTTTTACTCCGTGTAAGTTAAGTGGCTAAACTTTAGCTTCAGTTGAGTTCGATTGACTTTTGATAATATTATTTTTTCTGTTCAATGTATAAGTGAGTGGCAAGAATTGAGCCTTTCTCCAGAATACCTTTCTTTTTTGTTTTATCTTGATGATTCGTACCTGTAGGTTTGATTTGATTCAATATTTATTGTTTCCTGATGATAATACACAGTGTCAACCTTTTGATCAACTTTTTCATCATGAAATACAAGAAAGGAATTTAGTTGAAACAGATAGCTGCTTGATTTAGAAAATGGAAGACTGTCATATTTCCTACGACAGCATTGTCTGCATGTTGGAATTACCCATGCTAGCACAGGGGCTAGACAGGTGTATGAATATTTCCCAAGGGGTTTCCATGTATATGGAAGCCATTACCATCCTCACAATAATTCATATGCAGGGTTACCTCTCCCCCCCCAACCAGTACCCATATTTACATCCGGAATAGGTGAGACACTTTGAAGCTTACAGTATCTTGCCCAAGAACAAGATGCAATGCTCCAATGTTAGAGACCAAAACTGGACCGCTTAATGTTGAATCCAGTGCACAACTATACGGCCACCATACCTCCTCCTCTGATCGTTATGATTGGAGTGGAGTGGATAGGGTCAATTGGGAAGGGTTGAACCCTTATAACATTGCGTAACCAATGCCAACCTAAGGAAACTTAAGGCGACTTAAGGTGACTTTAATCGACTTTAGGCGACTTAAGGCGACTTAAGGTCTCAGAGTAGGCCTTAATAACATCATTAATCGACGGATCAATATCTTTAAGACCTACAAGTGTATTTTTCAGTCTATTTTTCACAGATTCTAGAGGGTTTACATCCCATGATCAGATATCAAGTGAAATGAGGTTCGGGAAGAAACATATTTTTAATATCGCTCAGAATGGGATGCATAAAAGCAGTGAACTTTGGGGCTACCAACAGTTGAGAACTCAAGTTTTAACGGAGAGGTCAAAATGAAGACATCTGTTATTTTAGCTCTGTTTGGCTTTGTACTCGCTGTCGGCTTTTCAGTCGCAGTAACTGAAAATGAGCTGGCCGAGATAACAGATGAATTTGAAGCAGGAAAACTTCGAGGGTAGGTTGTGTGACAAATTCACTATAAATAATAACTGTAGTAAAAAATGTACTTCACAAAGATGCCGTTTCTGCAGAGTTTCTCCTGTTTCGAAGAAGAACAGAAACTAGATTCTGGTGGGAGATGGCAATTCATCCGAATAAAATCCAATGAGCTAGCGGGGGTGAACTGAAATGTATTGAAGGTTTAGTTTAAAATTATGGAATCTAAAGTTAAGTTCATAAATGAATTATTTTTCTGAAAGTGGATTATGTTTTAGACTTATGGACCATTTGACGCCATGAAGTTCTGCAGTGGAAATAGTTTCATTATTTTTTTCTTCATGTTTCAGTGAGTACGACATGAAAGAGAACGATGAAGAGTTCGATGCAGAAGACCTAGAGGACAATGATGTGGCAATCCGCAGAAGGTACGTTGAGGAAGATAAAATCATTTTTGATACTTTTGGAAACTTGCGTGGTCAAATGTTCTGAGCGACGATTCTCAGCAAAAATGTAGTCAGGATCTTAAAGTAACTAAGAAAAATTTGTTGCCTTAAATGTGACACCTGCAAATGGTTAGATGTTCTAGTCTTCTCGGAAAAGGATGATAAACCGTCTCCTGCATTTTCTTCTGGAGTGGTTAGCAGGGGAACCCAGGGGAACCCACACACCTCTCGCCAGGAGAAGGGGACGTAGCTCCTGGTGTTGTGCTGTGACCTCGATGTTGATCAGTTATATAGGCCCCCATTTAAACCAGCTTTAACAAATAACCAATTCGTTCAAGTTTATCTTTTGTAATCTTTTTTCTGTCACCCAGTAAAAGCGAAGTGGCGGCCGAAGACGAGGAGTTTGACGAGGCATTCGATAATGACGATGATAAAGACGAAGTTAGTAACGGTGACGTAACAGCAATAAAAAAGTCAGCTGACTCCTTTATTCGCTTTAGACGTGTTGGACGCAGAATAGGACGTAGGATTGTGCGTCGTATTCCTTTTGTTCGCGGAAGAATTCGTGGTGCAATTCGTCGTGGTCGTCGTATATTTCGTCGTTTTCGCGGTTAATGCGGCTAACGAAGACCATTTCAGTGAAGGTAAGTAAAAATGAGAAATGGGACTTGCAGCTCATTTACTCACTCATCTCGACGACATATATAACTTGGCTTCCTGAAGGAGGAAGTAGCCACAAAAAATAGCTTTAAGGCTTTGGAGGGTCTCGAGCTTTCATCATATCGATAGCTGTTTGTTGCACTCAAATGAGCTAGCTTTTGACCACCCCGAAGAGTGTCTAGCATCTAAATTCTCCTTAAAATATCCTTCCTGAGTCAAACATTAAGGTCACGAGAATAAAGGAAACGATCACCAACTAAAAAAGCTATCGATTGTTAAACAAATTCTCCTTGTCAGCCGCTAAGGAAATGTATAGAGAACAGTATGGAGAATGTACATTCTGATGTTAAGGTGTAAAGGGTTAAGACTGACCCTCATTAGTACTTATGTTTGACTTTTCTCTTCCCCAGCAGGTCTTGATGAATACCAACCTCGAAAATGCATGAGTAGAGAACTTGGAACAACTAATAGGACAGTTTTCATGTTTCGGAATATTGTAATGCTTCTAGAAAGTAAAAATCCCCACCTGCTGATAAAATATAATGAGGAGGAATTAATGTACAAGTTATAAAAGAGAATGTTGTGATTTGCTGTAAGTTTGCGTCAATAGAAATAAATCAAGTTCAAAAATACCTTGATGAGTTTATATTTTTTTGGTGAAGTTGAGCTAATTTATTTTCAATTTTTTTTTTCTCGTCGTGACTTTGCTTTTCTGGCTGTGTCTTGTTTCTATTCGAGAGGTTTTCTTTCGTCTGGAGTTCCGCGAGAGTAAAATGAGGTTGCTCGTGAAGGGCAGAGATATGAATTATATTATTAACACTCGATAAGAAGTTATGCGCACACGCCACGCAGCTATGCTATTCTCTTTATGAGTAACGACAATGTAGCCTTTGGAATATGCAGAAAGACTAAAAGAAAATAAAAGGGGATACTCACCCACAACAACTATTAAGGTTGTGAAAACATAAAAGTAACTTAGGTGCCCTACTTGAATCATCTGTACCAAAGTTTTAGTGGTAAGATCTAGAGAAGAAAGTATGCAAAGGCTTGTCCTCATTGATGCTGCGAACATGAAAACGTTAGAAAAGATTCAAATATTTCCTCAATACCGGGTTGATCCCTATAGTTTTGGCACAGGAATGGAATCGGCAAGGGACATATCGGGCTTGGCCAAAAAATAACCTATTAAAGTGTTAAATGTATCTAAATTGTAAATTTTAAGAATCTTCTACATTTTTCACACAATATTTGCACATTTCTTTCCGAGTAAAATTAGATGGTTCTTTCACTTATGAACACTTCATGGTTGGACATTTTCATAACACTTTTGCGCGCACAGTGAATTGCATGCGTTCAACAACAAGAGAACGAACACTTACCACAACAGTACTCTATTGTGGGCATTGGAAAATAAAAATCACGCCAAATATTTTCTCATTTTGGGTTGATCAGTTGGTAAATATCCCCACAGTTTTGGAATAGAAACAGGAATTGAAATTAATGTCGCTGCCTCTTCGACGTGTGATTAGTTCATGCATCGACATACTATCATGAAACTTTCGCTCGCACAGTGTCTTACGTCAAACAACAACAACAACACTTACCGCAACGATACTTTATTCAAGCACGCCTCACAGATGAGCGCAAGACTTCTGAAGTCGGATGTACATCATGTATTTAAAAAAAATGGGAGAGGTTAGGTTAACTGCTTGAATTTCATGTGTACGTTTTAGTGCGAGAAATGAAAATTCCTATCTGGCTCCTGAAGCGAACTACTCCTTCAGCGAGTGGATGTATGTTAATGACACCGACAGAAAATATAATATTTCTCAATATTAATCGTGGTCTTTAAAACTATTGATATGGGTATGGTATGAATTTTTCAAATCGTTTTTAATGAAATGAAATTGATGTATAAGTGTTTCTATCTGTAAAATAATAATGATAAGAAACTCAAACCTTAAGAATAAGCTATAATGGAAATAATTTGGAATTCAACGGAATAATTATTATCAAACGAGGTGATTTACTTGATAGTGTCATTACAAGACGGAAAATCATGCATGCTTTTTTTTTAGATTTTCAAGGGTCTATATTCCTTGATCAGATACCGGGTGATATGGGAATCTGAACAAAATAGACATTTGCGCACTCAAGAAAACAATACATATTTCTTATTTCAAAGTGTTTTACGCTCCATCAACCAAGTGTGAATTTAATGTTGTAGTGGTACAACTGGTGTTGACAAAATAAATTTACTCAATCTTTCATGAGCCGCTTACTTTAGTTACAAACAGAAAACAGGTATCATGAATGAATGAAAACAAATGGGTCTCAAAATCATTCTAACTTGTCAGAGAAATGAAATTGAAGTAAATGTTGCTATCTATAGAGTAAACTGTACTTAAACTTCAAGAAAAACCCATGAAAATAGTTGGAAATTGCTACTGTTGACTCATAAATGTACTTATGTAACTGCTCCGGTTTCTATCCAGAAATACTTTAGAAAATGGGACTCAATCACAATTTCGCTTGACACCAATCAATAATTAGAGAATTAAGATTTTTTTGTCTTATTACGAGCGTGGAACAAAGAAAAAATTCAGAGTTCCCCATGAGGAATCGAACGTCAGACCTTCGGATTCCGTGGTCCGATGCTCTACCACTAAGCCACAGAGACTCTACGGTGAGTAGGGTTTATTACGAAGTTCAGAAGACACGCCTCCATCATACTGCTGGGATCACAGCAATGTTGATAGCGACATGTTTGTAACTAAATATTCTTTTTACAAATTAATAATTGTTTGGAACTTTTTGGATATGGATCAATGTGTTGTGTTCTTGGGCATGTCACTTTATTCACAGAGTGTCTCTCTCTACTTTTGAGTATAAATGAGTATCGGCGAATTGTTAGGGAAGCCTGATGAAATGCTGTGGGGGAGGGGGGGGGTAACCTTGATATGGAATAGCATCCCATCCAGTGGGGAGTAGTCATACTCTTGGTCGCTTCATGCTGAGGAAGCTGGGATAAAATCCAAGCCCATTGGCTCGAACATAAACTGTTTTAAAAACAAACTGAAACTTATTTTGTGAAAATCATCTAGGTTTCTGATTTAAATGTAAATATGTATAACTTAGTTGTTTTTGGATCATTGTAAATAGTTTTAATATCAATCTAATTAGGTATCTCTTCGTGAGACGATTAGGACGCAGGATCATACGTGGTCTTTGTCGTGTTCCTCGTACAGTTCGTCGTTTTCGTCGCGGCTAACGAAGATCATCTCAGTGAGGGTAAATAGAAATAAGAAATGGGAGGTGCAGCTGGCTTTGCCTCTTCCAGGGATGTTAGCAAGGGCAAAGCGACCACATAAGTACGTACGCACCTTCATACACCATGATCCCATAAGAAAATGGTATCTAGAAAATGCTTCACATTTAAAAAGTTAATCTGCAAAAAGCATCTACAATTTTTTTTCAACAGGCTTCTTTGCGTTATTTAATTTTCACCTTTTTCTTGTTTGAATTAATGGCAAAGGTTCCTTTGAAAACAAGTAAAGTGGAATTGAAAAGGAATATACCTGCTAACTTTTCTTCGTTTTACTATCATTCCTACCCGAACTAAAAATAAAATGGACCTGAAAAAGAAGAGAATCTTTGTATCGCTGTTGCATTGCTTTTTCATAAGTGGAAAATGAAATACAGCAGCGTATTACTTAGGCGGATGATAAATGATAAACTGAACATCACAAGAAAATTTCGTAGGACAACATTATGACAATCTTCGTTACAGGAGTAAAAAACGGCTTTTTGGGAGACTAACAGGATTGTAATTCCTCATCACAAAAGAAAAGTAAAGTGCTAGTGGCTAAAAGCCAGAAAACACAAAAGGAAAGAACTCGACTGTTTATCGAATACAAATATTGAACTATAAAGATACTCGGAAAGAAACAATAAGTAGTATCGGAAAACAGATGGAAAACATCTGCCTCCTATAGGAGACAGTAGCCACGAAAAATAGCGTAAAGGACTCGAGTATTCGTCGCAAGGAAAGCGGTTTAGCCGCACTAAAATGAGCTATCAAGCCACATGTTAAACTTTTGTCTAAATTAACTAGCATCTAAATTCTTCTTCAAATACCCCCCCCCCCCCACCCTGTATCATACATTAACGTCACGAGAATAAAGGAAACGGTCACCAATTATAGAAGGTCTTAATGGTTAAACAAATTCTCCTTGTCAGCACCTTAGGAAATATATAGAGAACAGTATGAAGAATATATATGCTGATAGTGATGATGAATACCAACCTCGAAAATGCATAAA